CTATGAAGGAATGTCCAGAGAGACGCTACCTTGCTAGCTTTGAAGCTGGAGGAAGGGGACCATGAGCCAAGAAATGCAAGAAGTCTCTAGAAGCTGGAAAAAGCAAGATAATTATTTTTCTCCTAGAGCCTCTGGGAAGTAACACAGCCCTGCTGACACCTTGATTTTAGCCCTTGTCAGATCTTCCAACCTATAAAACTGTAAAAGAATACATCTATATTGTTTTAAGCCACTAAATTTGTGGTAATTTGTTACAACAGTTATAGAAAACCAATGTACCTTTGTTTTCACTTCATTTTTAAATACCTGATTATTCTTTAGATATTCTACATAAATTTTAATTAATTACTATTTAGCTGAAGTTAGGGTCATAGTGACTAGTGTGTACTTGATGAAAATATTACTTTGAGCTCATCCCCCAAAACCTAGTAGGATATGAAAATATTTGGCTATATAATAGAACAATTATAAATTATACACATAACAATTATGATGGCAAACACTGCTGGCTCCCAATCACTTAAAAGCTGAGTTTTAGCCCTTTGAAAAGCTCCATTTTGGTGAAGCTGCAAAATATGTATTTTTTTTTACTGGGATAATTTCTAAGAAATAAGATACAGGGGCACTCACTGCATTCTGATTCACTTCCTACCTGAATCGCTCATTGGTTACCTGGGACTCTATTACACTAAGTGTCCAGCAGGGGCAGCAGTGTGGAACTTTCACTAAGTGAAAGTTCACCATCCAAACCAGATGAAGGTGGCTGAACCTAAGCCTGCTCACCTATGAGCACATTTCACGTTATCATTGGCAAGCACTTAACACACTGTAGCTGAAAGAGAAATAAAAATTATATTGTCTGTGAGAGGGGTCTGAAAAATAGGATTGGGAGTTGTAAGGTCATCTTTTTTATTTCCCTGTATGTTAAGAGAAAATCCTGACCTCAGCATATATTTTATATACTAGTAGGCAAAATCATGGCAGAAGCTGGAAGTAGACAGTGGAGTTCTACCAAACCCATCCTGATTCATTTTAATGCCACCATTAATTGTATTATTTGTATTCCATCTGTTATTACAAAAGTGCATATTTCAGGTTCAAATGCTAAACAGAACAGGGCTCTAGCACAAGATTGTCCAAGCCAAACATGGCTTTGTGGTTTGCTCTTACCATGAGCCACTCTATTGCAGCGCCATTTTCAAATGGGAATCCTCAGACAGGAATAGCTGCATGCTGTGCCAGGAAGGCTGTGTGCTTCCTACAGTAGAGTGCTGGTAAATGTTTAGAGGAGTGAGGTTGGGAAATACGACTTATAGCATTTGTTCATTTCTGCATGTAAATATTTCTACCATGAACAATTTCAAGCTACCAAATTAAAGTCACTGAATGTGGAATTGGGAAGAGATGCTCACAATCATTCCTAACAAGCTGGTAGGCTCTGACTCCAGTGCACCACTAGCTGTCTCTAGCTGTGTCCTGGGATTCACACACACAAGGCATGTAGGTAGAGCCATGCGTAGATGGATTCTAAGGATACCAGAAGTGACTACCAGAGACTATAACTGAGAAGTTCTTCCCTTTTCTCTTGGCATGAATTGTAAGTCACAGATTCTAACATGAAGGAACGGGGAGCTATTGGGGAACTTTGGAAGTTTATTCAGTTAAAGATTAAAATACTGCATTGTTTTAATGTTATTATAAATTCCTTTAAAAAGTGCAAAATTAGAGATTCACTTACTGGTTTTAGAATTATGTGAATTCCAATTTGGGGAGAGCATAATTTATTAAGGACAAAAAATTGAGCTAAACAAAGGAACTGATGATGTGGAAGTGAACTTAGAAGAAGTTGAAGGTTCTCTCTCTCTGCTGGCTAGCATCAATCAGATTTTAGAATGTTTGAACATTTGAACAACTACTTTGTAATTCATTCTAGTTTTCTTGCAATGGCATTAAATGCTTTTATACAGTGTTTTAGTCCATTCCCACACTGCTATAAAGAAATACCTGAAAGTGGTTAACTTATAAAGATTAGAGATTTAATTAGCTGACAGTTCCACAGAATGTGCAGTAAGCATGGCTGGGGGAACCTCAAGAAAGTCACAATTATGGCAGAAGGCAAAGGAGAAGCAGGCACATCTTACATGGCCTGAGCCAGAGGAAAAGAGGTGGCAGGAGGTGCCACACACTTTTAAACAACCAGATTTCATGAGAACTCACTATCACAAAACCAGGAAGGGGGAATCTGCCCCCATGATCCAGTCACCTCCCACGAGGCCCCTCCTCCAGCATTAGGTATTACAATTTGAAATAAGATTTGGGCAGGGACATAAATCTAAACCATATCAGTGGGACTTCTAAATTTTAGTTGTATTTCCTTCAGGGTCAACTGGCAAAACTTAATCCAATTATTCAATAAGTGGCTCACCAATAATCTCTAATTTTGAAGTTTTAGCAAACTGTAATGATTGAATGAAAGCTTACAAGGAGAAAGCCATTCAAATGTATTCCACAAAAGCAAAGGAGGAACTGAACACATTAAGAGAACACAAATAGTGAACTCAATTTAATTTTTAAAATTTTGTTTTGTGATTTGCGATACATCAATTCATGAAAATGAGTTTTTGATGGAGGTGCTATTTTTTAATTTAAAAATTTACATGCTGAACAAAGTGGAATAAAATTCAGATTGCCTAGGATATTATAGATGTGAATTTGACAAAACACTTAGATGAATTATAAATAGTGGAAACTTAATTTGACACATCCTATCGTTAAAAATATATTTTGGAAAAAAAAAAGGTTTTTGAATGGAGGCAGAAAGACAGCCTGTGAAAATATTTGTTCTGAAAAATTATAAATTTCAAAATGGAAAGAATTAGAATTGGTAATAAGCTCCAGTTAGCAGAATGCTCTCTAAACTTGCGTGTACTTCAGTACCTGTAGGAAGAGTATTTCCTCAATTGAATGTATTACAGTATATAGAAAGATCACTTGAATTTATGACTATAGGAGATTTTTAAAGTAATTAATAATAAGTCAATTAAAATGTATTTTCAGAAAAATGCCAATTACTCAGGATTAGAGACAGTAATGGAATAAAGTGTATGAGTATATAACAAGAACAACTATTCTGCATAATTTAATTTTTATATTCAGATAATTCATATAAAATTTTAAGTTGACTTTAATATACATGATATATATTTTTAATTTTTAGAAATATTTTTAGATATGAAAAAAATTACTGAATGACACTATTTGAGGGGCCAAACAATATTATAAAGTCAGTTGAGTAGTCCATTAATAAATGTTTCAAAACATGAATTAATTTTAATTACATTTTTGCATCAGGTTTAACTCATAAAATTGTCCCTGTTCAGAAGACATATCATGTTTTTTTGCTACCCGGAGACACATGCACCTCTATTACCCTATAGTCTAGGATGAGCTCCCTTCCCTCCTTCTCAAAGGCACTCCTCAGTTTGCCAGAAGTTCCTTCTTTTTTACAGGGATACAGACCTATCAGTTACCACCAGTTCAAGTCATTAGCAGGAGCTCACCAGTGAGGTCAGAATTTAGGAAATGGTAGAAAAAACTATTGACTTCAGGCAACTTCTGCTTTTTAGCTATCAGTGAGCACAACATTGTGCATTGGTTAAAAAGAGGAAGGAGAAAATGCGGGTGTTGTGTAAACTGACAACTTATACGACACATTACTTATCTCTAGCCATAAAATAATCCCTTGTTTTCTTTATAGTCTTTCTTTTTCCATAGTTCTCTCTTTCCTTTTACTTCTGCAACCTTTCCCTTCGCCACTTTGAGGTATGCAGCCTGGAATCGTAATTCTAGTCTAAGAAATGCTATTTTCAATTAGTGGCCTTTCCCTTGCTTGTCCTCAGAAAGAATTGTTTGTGTGATATTTAAGCTAGAATAGAAGTTGGAGAAGGTCTGCTATAAAAAGAAGGGACTTATGATGTCCCAGTAGAGCTGCAGAGCTGATGTGAATAAAGACAATTGTTGGTTTCAAGGGGGTGCCTTGCTGACTTAGGATAGAGTGATCAGATCGCCTTTATTAAAATGCAGACACACTCAAACTGATTGACAGTAAATCCTCATAGAAGAAAAGTATCCTGTCCACATAAGATCATTACAAAATCCATCAGCAACATTCTGCTTACCCTCTATTATAGCAGATCTTATGCATTGTAATATTTGTGTATATGCCTGTTTTTCCCACTAGACTGAGCTGTTGAAGAACTGGGATCTTATCTTATTAATCTCTATATCCCCAGGGCCTATTTTAGTCTGGGCACAAAATAGGCACTCAATGAATAATTGCTGAATGAAGGAATCATGAATGCAATCATGTCTACAAATTCTTAAGTCACAAATACTGCAGATGCTTGAAGAATGTAATGAATTATTTGCATCAGTGTTACAAGGTCTGTTTGTTGCAAGTCATCTGCTATGGGGAAGCTTCTCTGTCTCATTAGCATCATCTCAGCATTATCAAACCGTGTTCATGAAACTTGCACCTATTTTTAGAATGACTAGGACCTTATCCTGTAAGATTTAAACATTTCTTCATTAGTCTTCCTCCACTTTCAGCAATTCTATGACCCAAATTGCAATGTGATTTCAAATACAAAAGACTGATGAAGGGAAAATATTTAACTTTCACAGTTGCAAGATATTTTAAAGATCAGTCACCTGGTATAATCCCCTCAATTAACAAATGAATCAACTCTTACCCAGAAAAACTTAATTCATCCAAGTTCAGAGGATTGGTTCGTAGTAAGGCCAAGAAAAAAAACAATCTTCCTAACCTTTATTTTTTCCATGATATTAACTGAAGTTGGCAAAAGGAAAATAAAGAGAAACAGAAATTAAAAGTAATGAAGAAGCAACTAAAATAAGAAAATATACAAAGAGAAAAACATGGTTATGCAACAGATTTACTTTTTAACATTTTGGTGCAAAACTCCTTTAAAGTTACTTACATTAAAGGAATCCTGGTGATTTGAAGGAATCCTGTCTAGGTCAGCTTCTCCAGACAACAGACTTTGAGCATCTGAGATTCGCATGCAGGAAGTGTACTGGGGAGTGCTCCCAGAACAACATCCGTCAGTGTCTGAGGGGAGTCAGGTTGAGCACAGGAAGCAGCGGCAGTTGCAGCAAAGACTCAGACAGTCCAATGGGGTGCTATAGAGCTTTGGTGCCCCTTCAGAGTTGTCCCCAATTAAAGCAAGGATACTAGGCTTTTTACTGCCACATCAACCCGTCAGTGGACTCAAACTGAGGGCACGTTTTTGGGAAAGATTCCTCTGTAGGTCTTCAGCAGCCAAAGCTTCCTGGCAGCTGGGGTAATAAAAGTTTCGATCCTAAAGAAAAATCTGAGTAATGCAACATAGGATTCACTATTGACCACTCTTTGTGCGACTTGGATCTACTTACTTAGGTAGTAAATAAACTTCATCTGAGAACAGCTCCTCCAGGTTTCAAGCTTGTTTCTTTTTCTAACAAAACTTAGTAAGGTTAGTGAAAGGAACTACAGCTCCTGCTGCTACAACTAGTCAGGAGGCCACAGCTGATACTATTTCCCTCCTTTCCTACTCATTCCAGATTCATTTCTGCTGACAAAAGTGACTTACTCTACGCCTGTAATCCCAGCACTTTGGGAGGCCAAGGCGGGCAGATCACCGGAGGTCAAGTTTGAGACCAGACTGGCCAACGTGTCGAAACCCGGTCTCCACTAAAAGTATAAAAAAAAAAAAAAAAAAAAAGCCAGGAGTGGTGGTATGAGCCTGTAATCCCAGCTTCTCAGGAGACTAAGGCAAGAGAATCACTTGAACCCAGGAGTCGGAGGTTGTGCTAAGCCGAGATCGCGCCACTGCATTCCAGCTTGGGCAACAGAGTGAGACTCTGTCTCAGAAAAAGAAGAGTAGCTTACTTGGTGACCTAGCCCCTCGTCCCTGAGGTGAAAGAGTCTCTAGTCCTGTGCTTGCTCAGACAGCAGCTGATGCAGTTGCCCATTTGTTTTCACAATTGGACAAGAGATAACCAAGAGATTATCTATTGTATCTCCTGGATCTGAAATACATATACATCCATCCCTACTGCATCCATTGTATAGCCACCAATTTTATGTCTCCTTGGTGATGCACATCAATTTCCCTACCACGGGAGTAACTCTTTCCACACTTGCTAGTCTCTTGGTAAAAGAACTCCAAAACCCCTAGGCAGTGGCCACAGCTTAAAGTATAATGGGACACTTGCTGCATAGCCTAGTGGAAGGATTCTCCCATTGAGAATCTGGACCACTAGACCCACAAAGTCAAAAGCTGTGAGAAACATAAATTCCTCGAATAGGTTATTGGGAGAAGGTTATATGATACCATTCCTTTATTTTGAGATGCATGAATCCTTTTTGAATAAGCAGCCAGGCTGCAAAAGTTTGGGTGGTACAGTTTATGAAAAGCCCAATGACCAAGTAGACATATGTCAACAGTCACACTCTGTGTGCCATAAAGTGTGTCCCTTGATTCAAAACAATGTCAAAGGGAATTCTATGTTGATGAAACAAATAATCTATAAGCCCTTAAACAGTGGGGCTGAATATGGTCCTGTAGACCTGGTAAATCCACAAATATGGAGTATGTGTCAATAGAAGTCAAGATAAATTGCTCCCCTTTCTAGTATATTAAGGGTTTGATTGAATCACTTTCCTATCAAATAACTTGCTGGTCTCCATGAGGAAAGGTCTCTGCATTGTGCACTGTTGCTGTCAGGTTGTACATTGGGAGCAGCAGTCACTAGATCAGTTACTGAATAGGAACCCACGCTATTGATCCCATTCATGAACAACATATCTGCCTCCCATGGGTATTCCATTTATGGTTCCATTTTACCAAAACTGGGTGACTGATAACAGAGCCTGGATGTTCCCAACCAGCCTGTATACTTGATTGCTTAGTGCTTCTTATGTGATGGATAATCCATGGGGAGAATTATCATGCATTACACATTTTGTTTTGTTTGTTGTTGTTTTGTACTTCATGCCCACTCCTATATGCCCATCTATATACCTTGTCCTCAAAAATATTTTTTCCAATCCTAAAATCATTCTCCTTCCAAACTCCTGATTAATGGTCTGGCTCATCCATCACTGTTCGTGAGCCCATATGTATTCTAACCTCAGGCCACTTTTCTCCCACATATGTACTCCTCAAAGTTATACCCATTGGGAAGATTTCTCCTCACCTCTCTCTTCAGGCCCACCCCTGTGTTGATCTGTAGCACAGTACATTTATGTCTGTCTCGCATACTAAGCCAATCCATCTATAACTTAAGCTTAGCCTTTTTCTTCCTCCATCAGCTATTCATAACAAATTCCCCATACCCAGCAGGTGAATGTTAAGTGCTAAGGGAGATGTGCCAAGGCGACAATGGTAGATGACATGGAGTCTGAGCCACCTGCTTGTGTTGCTTCCTTGTGCCCTCTGGCCCTGTTCATGCCTGATGCTGGCATGATTAATTGCTACTGGGCCTCAGCAACCTATGACTAGATTAGTTTGGCAGAATCTAGCTCTGCATGGTTACTCGATGTCCATTCAGGGGGCCTGTCTCTATCAAGACCCCTAGCATGCCCTGGCTGTTTGTCTAATAGAACATGATTTTTCCTTGCAGATGGCATAGCCTTGCTCCAGAACACTAAAGAGTCCACATTACAGTTCTCCATTTGGGTCATGCCATAACTCCCCATGGTGATTTTTCCCTACCACAGACATCTCTAATATTATACAGTCTGCTTTGTTGTCTTCAAACAAGAGGTCTATGTGGCATGGCTACTTGTGTCAAAACCGGAACTTCCTGAAGAGTCCCTTCTTATTCTGTGTCCAACTCAAAGATGTTGGTTTTCCATGTTACTTGTTTACCAGGAATCATGTTTCCTTCTTAGTGGTGGGAGATGGAAGACACACAAACCCTCCTTTACTGTGGAGATGATCTGGCATATACCAGACCATACAGCTTATTGATATAGCATGTCCCTGAAGCTTCATAGAGTTTATAGGGAATGCCAAAATTTCCCATCCTCTGGACTACATGTGTCTTAACAAGGCCACCAACATACATATTTCTACCTCATATAGTCCACTCAATACAATGCCATTAAAATAGTAGACCAATGTAATATTATATGTTCAAACAGTTTAGTTTTCTTTAGACTACATGTGTGACATAGGGTAGAAGAATCAACATATCCCTAGGATAGCACTGCAAATGTATATATGTGTCCATCACATGTGAATATTCACTTTTTCTGGTTAGCCATATTTTTAGGGATGGGAAATAATGCATTCAACAAAACAGTGACTGTTTACCAAGTTCCTGGAACCATGATATACAGAGCCAGGACTAATATGTAGTGAGTAAGACACTTGCATCAGATACAAAACTTTGAGAGAACATCAAAAAATCAGTAATCAAGATAAATATTACAAGGTAAATATTTTTAAAAGTTAAATTAGTACAAAAAATCCATGATGAGCAAAATATTAAAATTGTTAAGAAGGACAATATTGGCATTAAGTTTTTCTTTTGTCCCATGCTTCAGTTTGGTTTGGCATGGTGCTATTTCTGATTCTGTCTTCCTTTAAAAGTTTATTACATCTGGCATAGCTCCTACAATTGCGGCTACTACTTGGTTGAGTTTGTAGTAGGTCACTGTCATCCTCCAGAATTCATCTGAGTTTTTTGTTGCTGAAGCAAGGCTACCAAATTAAATTGGGGGAATGATGGGAACCATCATTCCTGCATCTTTTTTGACTTTAAGCAAATTTTATGCAAAATTGTCTTGGTTTACTGTCTTGGCCAGGTTCAGAAACAGTTTCAGAGGCTTCTACTTAACATTTTCCATTCCAATAGCTCTTATTCCACAGGCCAGTGGAATTAAATGTAGTCTTTGCATTCTAAGTATGCATTTGGCGATGAGAGAAATGTCTAGTGGGTTCATGTAATCAGTGTACCCAGGACTCCATTTATTACCTGCCTATATATGCTCCTGCTTAACTGGGAGACCATGGTGAAATTGCAGGTACCTGTGTAACAATATCATTGAAACCTCCAATGCCCCACTGTTTTGTAAATATCTGAGTATTCCCCTTTCCTCAGTTTATGGTTATTCACAACAAATGATGTAAGGCCATCTGAGTAAAAACTGGGAATTGTTACATCACAATATGCTTGCTTGGTTTTGCAAAGTCCTCCCTCCTGGGGAATCAGTCTTTTTAGTCAGTGGGTTCTGAACTGAAAACTGGCTCAGATCATGAAACCGGGGTACACGACTGTAATATTTCATGGGAGATAGCAAACCTCGACCTTCTAATAATCCCTCCTTAACTTCCTTTGCTTTTTAAAAAAGAACAAAAACCCTGGCAACCGGCCAACCTTTTTTCCCCCTAGGCCTGTCATGTTCTATTAAATATCGACATATCTCTGAGAGTCAGCTGCCCCTGGCTGCTCCTGTGACTTTGCTGCACTGCCACCTATTTCAGGATTCTATATTTCCCATTTTATAAGGGACGTTTCAGGTACTGGATGTCAATGTCTAATCTGCCATCTTTTCTGTATTATACAACAATATCTTCTACCGTCAGTCCTGGTCCTCAGAGAGTCACCACTGACCTTCACAACAATATGTGTCTTTCTCACCTTATTGCTGTGGACAACAAAATGTTTTCCACGCAGACTCTTGCAGGATATACTCATAGGTAAGTTTTCAAGCCCTATGTGGTCTATCAACTCTTGTAGGCCAACTTCTTTGAGTATTTTGATCCTTTCTTCCACTCTCTACCATCTTAGTTTTGGTATTTGTATCTCACTTGGTGAAAGCCATCACTTACTTTCACCTTTGAAGAGCCCACCTAGCAGTATGTTAGTTCTATCCTCTGTCATCCTTGCAGGGCATATTACCTGTATCATGACACAATGCTTGCCATGAGCCATACATACATGGCTCTTGCCAGTACTTGTTAGCTAAGTCCTGTAGTTCCTTCAGCACATTATCCTTTTTCTCCCTTTGTAGGCCCAGCACATAGCTGGCTAGAT